TTTTGTGTTGCATAATTATACGAAAAAACGAAAATGAATGTCATGCCCAGTTCCCGGCTCACCGCGGCTACAATACGTTATGTTTTGAATGCTATTCATCGAGTATTTCTTTCCATGCGATGAATAAAAATGGCAACAAACTTCTAAAAGCCTAAGCTTTAAAAAAACCGGGAGATTTAGTATCTTTGTCGGGAGGTCGGGAAAAATGCAGCAAAAGCGGGAGTCTCCCGGCGAAACCGGGAGAATTGGCAGGTCTGCAATACCATACAATATATTTTATGGAAAAAATGTTCCGAACTGCTTGGCAAATGACATCTGAGCATGTTCAAACACGCATATTTGGAGCATTTACTCATATACTCATTTTACAAAATTGGGAAAAAAAAAGTAGGTATACCGTATACGTAATATATTTGTAACGGTTCGCAAACTTTAACACGTATTTTACTTAAAGTTCTGAAGTTGAGGCGAAATTTTTTAGCTATGGCTCCATGAAGATCCCTTTTTTTCATTCGACAATATGACGAACAATGCATTATTTTAAGCCCAAACACATTGGTGATTTATAGTACAGGTCTATACTGTCATTTCTTGCGAAAGAAATTTTCATTTGACTCTATTGTACCTTTCAAAGCAAGTTATGTTTTACTTGTCGTGTTTGGTGCGACATGTCAACATCGCACAACCGACATTTGTCTTGAAGTTGAAGTCATGTGACATGTAATGTTTATGGTATTTCACCTTGTTTATGCTACATTTCATTACGCAATGTAAATTTGAATGCATCAAAGGAATAACACGACAAATATCTTCTTCAAATTTTTGCCAAGTGGTCATTTTAATCAAATCGAGCATTAATATGTAAGAAATACCGAGTTTCGTTTAATGTGAACTTCTGTATGGTGATTTATAATGAAGGACAAAACCAAAAGAGCAAATAAGCAATGTTTCATGGATCCAATGACTTCTTTAAATGTGTTACTGTATTACATTGAATGACTGAAGCAAAATTGACAAAAATTTTATGTTTCATATAAAATATGAGTATTTTACAGTTATGTACCTTACTTTTTCATATCAAGGCAAACATTAGGGTCTTGTGAGAAAAACTATTACACACCTACAGGCCACAGTAATGAGTGTGGTTTGTCATTATGAATGAAACAGTATGAAATCCATTTGTCTCATTATATCATGGCTGCAACATTTCTTGCAACAGCATTTAATTCTGCTTCTAAACCATATCTTGACTAATATATGTATCATATGCATGCACACAAATTCAGTCATGACACTTTGTTTTGTAAACATTTACCGAATCAATTGAAAAGCATTTTAGCCGATTTCATATCATTGATTCTCATTTATTATTATCCATCTTCTCCTGTGAGACTAATATATTGGGTCAAACCTCAAGAGTCTAGTCCCATACAAACATATAAAACAATCCAAAAGCCAATAGATATGGTCCAGTTGACCAAAGCTACCAAAACTTTGGTAAATAAATAATAAGTCAACCTGCTCACCATGCACATGCAATGTATAGTTTCAAAAATTGTACATTTGACCTGCGCATGTCTGTAGGTAGTAAAAAGCTACAGGCAGACTCCTCAGCATCAAGTGTTTTGACTATTAAGGTATTTGGATGTTTCTGCCATTTTTGGTGTATGTTAACAATTAAATCAGAAGTCCAAAAAGCACAAATCAATATTTTTAACTTTTAGTTATTTCATTCTCATAAAAATACTTGGAATAAATCAAGACTTAAGAAAACAGCTATCATTGGTCTCAGGTGACAATTTGTTAACAATTTCACGAAGCGATATTTGTCGTGTTATTCCTTTGATGCATCCAAGTTTACATCCCAAAAACTCTGCAATGTCTTCCCATTTCCAAAAAAAAGCGGCTAGATTTGGGATGCAAAGGGTACAATGACTTAAAATGCGAAAAACCTCATTTTCGTAATAGAAATTATAGTCCTTTTGCCCGCTTGAGCCGCCATCTTGGAATATTCAATTAGCTACGGCCGGCAACGTATAAATTGTATACACGTCAGCAATCTATGTTTGTTTTATCTATGATTTTATACATGGTGCGTTATCCACTGTAACATACATATCAGTGGTTTAAGTTTATAATGAAAGGGTATGATATAATGATAAAAATGCTGATTAAATTTACAGTCTGGACAAGAGTTTGCATACAAAGTGCATGATGAGTCTTATGACAGCTTTGATAAAGGCAAGTTTTGTGGATTTCTTGATATTGTGCAAAGTTTCACTTTCTCAAAATGTGATTGCTTGGTTTATATGATTATTTCACAATTATGGACAGTTAACTGGAATCTTTCCCAGGTTTAAAAATAAATTAATTGATGGACTAAACATGATGATACAAGGAGTTTCTATATGTTATGGATAATTGTAGTTTTTTTAGTTACTTGGAGTTGACTGAAGCAGCTGCCGAAAATAATTTGGTTGTATTTGTCCTATTTAAAGGTATTGACACTTCATAATGACAATTTTGGTTTGTGTATGTTAGTTTCGACTGCAACAGCTGAGTTGATGTCTTATTGTAAGAACTTGTGATATTGTCCTTATGTCTGCTCAATAAAATAGTGGTATAGCATTGTTGTTAAAAAATAACATTTTCCTTTTTATTTCCTGCTTGGCTCACAGGCTGATTCTGTTGAATAAACCTGCATCTTAAGTTCACCTGTCAAGATTTTTTGTAAGTTATTTGTACTTTTTGTCCTTTTACAAGAAAATCCAAAGGATAATAATTATTACTGTAGTGGACTAAATTCCCACATTTTGATGATGCATGATTGTAAATATGTAGATCAAGCATGTTATTTTGAAAGGTTTGCAAATGTTTCAAGATTTATAAATGTTTTAATTTTAAATTCCATCAAGGATGGGATGATGAAATATTGCGACTGTTCAAAAATTTAATTCTCTTTTAATCTTTACCTGTACATGCATGTCAGAATATTTGTTGTTGTATTACTATGTTACGGTTTTATTATAAAGTTGAGATCTAAAGCTAAGACAGTAATTTTTATTTTGACTTCTTAGAAACCTTTATAATTTTTGTTTCTAATTTAAAATTTGTAAATTAAACTTCAATAAAGTAATTGTCTTACTTTATGTATGATTGAAAATCATGATGTTTATGGCATGGGTCTTTGTATGCAATACCTGACCAAAAAATATTTGCTAAATATGCCACTGATTGTAGTATCAGTAAAAAATAAAGAAATATCATTAGCCACACCACCCTCAGCATTGTCTATTGCTTGGTTAGTTGTTAGTAAACCATGAAGAATTAACTACCCTTTTCTACATGAAAGCATGTAGCAATGTCAACTTTTGCTTGTAATGTAACTTTAGCTTCACAATTAGACTCAACATTATAATTGCATGCCATATATTGAAAAGTATAATGTATCTTTTACCAGAAACTAGTGATTGAATCCTTAACTACAGTGTCAATTGGACATTTGAGGTTTTATAAAAAGTATGGGCATTGTAGGAAGTACTAAGTTTTTATGTCAAAAATACTTCTGTAATATATCTGCACCTATTTATAAATGCTTTATCCATTACAGTAATATGTTTCATGATTCATAAAAGCCAATAAAATCATCAATTTGGGTGGCATACGCACCAAAATTACCAAGTTTCCACTTAACAGAAAGTTTCGCAAATGATATTTTCATCAGAATTATATTAAATGTAGCATTAATATTAATTTAATTACGTTAAGTACTTGTAACGACGATTCGATTACAAATGTTGTCAACCTGAAGAGTTATAAGGCAATGAAATGAAGCAAAAGGCGGAAAACCTATTATCTGTATTTTATCACATACAGTAAATGAGTAACAATAATTTTGCCAGGTTTCGCAATGACACTTGCTACGCAATATGACGCCTTATCAGCAATCGCGCAGTTAGTCTTTCTAATATCTATGGACGTGGTTTCAATAATAACTGAATGCTTACCGTCCTCTCCTTGGTACTTTTTCGGCCATTTTACTATAAAAGATTTGAGTTTTATGTCAGATTTCTACATTGATTCGAACAACAAATGTGCTACGCATGTATGCCATTAATCTACAAACTTACTGTCAAAATTGCAGTATTGAAACTGAACGACATTAATTACATGTATCTCCTTCCAATTGCTCTTTCAAATAAGGTAGATCAACATGTGCCCATGCTCTATAATTATTTTGCTATTAAATATTAATTATTAACTTTCATCATATTTACATATTAAACCAGAGCTTTGGGGCTCTGGAGTTTTTCAACAAACTCCCTTGCTAAAATCCTATATATACTTTAACACCGACGAACGAAAACATGCTGCAAACAATTTCGATAAGATTATATAAACTGATGAAGAACTCGGTGTTTGGTAAAACAATGGAGAATTTGGAAAAAACGTGTCAACGTGAAGCTCGTGAACGACAAAGTTAAGTTATCTAAATGAATAGCATCCTCATCCTTTGACTCATTTTATTTTTATTTGCAATGAAGAGATGCAGACAGTAACTGGCTTTTATGCGGTGGAGTTGTACAAAAGCCCATGAGTTAGATGTGAAGAACACAGGGCATGTTCATGCACGTTCCCATCATGTTGAAAGCTAAGCCGCCAAAATTAACTGTGTTTTATAAAGTTAACTATGCTCCATATAATAGTTAACTTTACCTACCTTTTAAATGCAGTTAGCGCTAATTACTTTTTTATACAACCGACTTAACCACGTGGTTAAATTTAACTACTTTTTAACAGCACGATTTCCGATCTGATCTTCAGTTTGCAAATTATTTTCAAACCTTGTTCGCCTGTATTTTACAGTAATTTCTTGCAAGACAGTACAATATTAGTGTTTATATTTATAATTAACATAGTCCACTTGTTCTTATGTAATTAGGAATGAAATAAAAGATTAGATAAAGTAAAGCTTTGTTATATAATTGCGCAAATTTTAGTGCACAAAGAAAATTTTCCTTAAATAAAAGAGGCACTTCTACTGTCACACTGTTGACGTTATGTTGAGACATAATAATATCACAGCTAAGGTGCTTATATTTGACATTAGTTTTACATTTCGTGTAAAATAATATCATTTGATCGCTAGGCCAAAGTGCGTGAAAATGTTCATTGTTTAGGTTATTTTAACGTAAAAATTTTATTTGTAATGTGTCTAACAGAAACGAAGCAGAAAATGCACAAAACATAACTGTACTTTTTATAGTCTATTAAGGCGAAAGTAAAATATGTTCCAAATTTAATAAAGCCAGTTACTTATTTACACATTTGTACACTTTGCCATTCCTTATCTTCGTATACCTTTTTACTCCCACTGCACATTGTTTGTCTCATATTCAAGAATTATGAGTATCCACACAGTACTGGATTGAGGTTAGGCTCTGGTATTAAACTTTACGACGGCTTTCCAGGGTGCACTTAAAACAAAGTTGTTTTTTTAGTAAGACATTGTCTTGACCATATTATAAAGATTATTACCCTTCACTCGATAGCTTTGTGGTGAGTACAATCGCAATATAAACATTTTTACTAAGAATACAACACATTTGCTGAACTGTCTCGTAGTTTATTCTCTCTTTTAATGAACTGCTAATGGTCGTGTTTGATTCACCGCGTTTCTTCTTCTGCAAAAGCGCACTGCCTGTTTAACAAATACCCACTGATTCTCCTGCCTAGCCATGGCACTTTCAAAACCATGTTAAAAATCATGCACTGCGTAAACCCATTTATGCCATCTAAATTGCCCAGACTCTCCAGTGATCGTAGAATGTTAGTAAATAGATCACTAAAATTATTAATCTTACTGGTATAGCTTGGTTTTCCACTGGAAGTTCCAGTAATTTCTCCGTGCGTGTTTTTTCTATAATTGTTGCATTTTTTTGGTAATTGTGATAGCGGTTCCTTCCGTCATGATCCTCCTTTGACAATCTAAAAAATACATCAGGCAAATAATATCAAAGAGCTAATCCCCGTTTAAGAAATAAGCTCCGATGCATTACATTTTCCTTCTCCAAGTTTTCCCAAAACGTGTTGGTGTAGACGTTTCTTTGATGTTCGCTAACTTAATTGTGAAGTCTCTGGTCTAATTGCGCTGTGTAAAACCTTAATAAATTTAATTAATTTTTGACACCATTTATGATCGTAACAATTTCCTTAATAATTCAATGTTTAAATAATTACTTAACACCAAACAGTCAAGTGAACAAATGATCGTACATAATAAGTAACGAAAACCAAAGATCTAATAAAAAATTATGCAATGATTAGGTCGATTTTTCCTTACATGTAATCGCAAAAGTCTGTTCACAAAGAAATAATACAACGCTCCGGGCGAATTTTCATCACTGCAAACCATTAAATGTAGATATGATCTTCGCACTTTGTTGGACAATTTAAGCAATTATCTCATGAACCTGAAAAATTCAGGTGACTCAACAGGATCCCGTTGTCGGAATTCCTACAAGTTTTCCTATACAAATTATTGCTATAAGAATTCGTACCAGATCTCCAACTTCCTATTAAAACTTCCTAAAGGATCCTTTTGGAAATTGGCCGATGAGCCTATAGGAACAACGTATAGCATGCTGTAAGAACCTATAGGAATTCATATAAGAATTCTTACAAGGATTGGTATATGTCTTGAAACATGCTGCAATTCATCTCAAATTTACTTGTAACTACATCAAATATTCTATTAAATGTTGTAGTTTTCTGGAGGACCTGTATTAATTTCTAATTTTCTAAAGCCATCCCACAAAAAATCCTCAAGGCTGACCGTATTAACAAACTGTATTATACATCTTAAAATAACAGAATAAAGGTTAAAAGCTTTACTTACCACACAGTGCAGCAACTTTTGGAGCATCCAATGAAGGCTTTGGTGTTTTATCTTTGTGAGCATTAAACGTTTTTCCTGTTAAGGAATGTGTTGCTAACACTTCTCTGGACCAAATTATGTCCATTAACGCATACGTGTAGTTCTTTGGATTTCCTTGTAAAATCAAAAAATCCCTCTGCGAATGCAAAATCTTAATACCAGGAGCCAGTGCTACCTAATAAAAAATTTAGAAGGCTTAAATTTGAAATGCATATTGTTGAAAAAAGTTATATTACCCTTCAATTACGATTGCTATAAAGTGTTTTACTAAAACACGAAACAATTGACACTCCGTGTAAAGTAAAGAATAATCATTCTAAACGTTTTGACAAGTGTTACATGTTACAAGGTATCATCATCAGTAGAAAATGCGGACATTTCGAAGATTACAAATTTAAAAAAATTAAATAGAAATGAATAACGTTTGGAATAAATATTGTTTAATTTATATGGAGTGTCATTTCTTTTTCCATTTAAATTTAATGCTTTTACCATTTGCTATAGCTACGATTTTTTCTTCACATGCATGAGTTAGGTTCTAGGTTCCGTTAAAAGAGAAAATTTAGGAAGAACAAGATATTGTCTACAACGTACTACGACTCTATAATTCATCAGTTTTCAACATGATAACATGGTTTCCTGAAACATATCAGGTCGAATTTTAAACTGCAGGGCCGCTAGCAAAAATAAATTGAAAGACAGCAACCTTAGCAACCAGACAGCAACCCAGTTGTTCGCCTAGTTGGCTTCTCCACCTGTTGGTCCAAAATAAATTTATGAGATCCAGTAGAAGTCAAGAAGCATCTTCTGGATTGTTTTTGAATGCCTATCTTAAACAAAAGGCACCTTAATTGTGCTGTTAGTTGGCGTCTCTGACTACGCACAAAAATACCGATATGTTGATTGCTATACGGGTGTAGCTACCAAAAAAACTGAACAGTTAGGAAATTGTCGCTTAAGTAATCAGCCCCAAGATCAAAAAAAATCTTGGTACAATAAATATTTGCACTTTAAATGGTTTATCTGATAGTAGAACTCTCACAAATAATAACCATTTTTAGAATAAGAATTGTGTTCCCGCACTGTCATTTTAAAGGAGTTATTTTGACTCCAAAGAGGTGATTAAAATAACTCCTTTTAACGGAGTGAAAAATTTGTTTCAGCCCCAAGATTGGAGTTAAATTAACTCCAATATATGATTGGATTCTGATTTTACTCCACTTGGAGTAATTTTAACTCGGCCAAAAGTGTTAAAATAACTCGTAAATCAGAGTATAATTAATGGAGTTATTTTAAACCGTAACATTTAATTCCAGGAGTAATTATAACTCTAAATTGATTCTGTCGTTATGGCAACAAGCTCATATTGCGTGGGCCTCGTGGTGCTTCGTTAAAATTTGGATTTCAAGCAACGCTCTAAACGTTTTTTTGATATTTTTAAAACATTTTAATATATTTGAAAAATATATGTTATTTTCTTTTAAGAAAATCGACAATTTTTTTGAGCGCAAACATGTTTTGACATTATCAGAACGCAATCCTTAGTGCACAATGGTTAGTGTTAGTTAAGATGATACATTATATAGGAAGCTAAAATATGAATAAATTATTTGCAATGAATAGGATTATGATTTAGTTACAATCATAGGAATTGTAACAACCCTTTATAGAGTTATTTTAACTCCACTTTTGGAGTTATGCTTACTCAAAAAGCGGAGCTATAATTTTGGACTAAGATGTAACTCCAAAATAGGAGTCATTCTCTACCTTTTTATTAACTCTCCTTCTGGAGTTAAATCAACTCCTTGAAATTAACAGTGTGAGCAAGACTCTTAAAATGAAACACATTTGCTTAAAATATGGCAGATGTTGTTTTAGCTAACTTCGAATTTAAGTAAAGTTTCGAAAAATTTGGCTAAAGCGTACGCTAACGCTAGGCTTCCAATTTGCTGATTATTTTGTGTTTTTTCCCTTTTAAATGCCATTTTTTAAGACTTAAGTAAATATTCGCGTTTTTTTTTTGATTTAAGATCGCATTTATACAAAAGTGAAGAATTATAAAAAATGAAATTTAAAAAGGGAAAATTCAAAATAACTTGCAATTTGAATAGGTAAGCTTTCTCGATGCATACCCTAAAATTCCCAAAACTTTGTTACCTTGTTCTACTACTCTCATAATTTAACCCCATGTGTTGCAATGGCTTCTCAGCTTTGTTATATAAGTGTGCAAGCTACTTCAACAGTGCTTCTAGGTAACACAATTTTTATTCTAAAAAGTCTATTATTCACCAAAACTTTACCTTCAGTAATAAAGTCTTATTTACTATTTTAACCAAGTGTTTTTGCAAATTTTGCACACTCACAACTTTAGCAGCGTTTTCATAACTGTTCCGTTTTTTTTATACACCCTGTAGCTATATTCATATCCTTAAATTTCCAATATTGCGTATAATGATATTAACTTGACATTATAGATATACACTTTTTTTTTACTGAACTGTGCTGAGGTATTGCTCATATAGACGACTTTTATTTTAACTAAGAAGGTACTATTCTTACCATCTCTTCCACACCGTCGCCAGTATTATCATTTTCCTCAATCGTAGGTGTATCACAAGAACTTTTAAGGCATAAAGGGGACAGGTGTTTTGGTAAATCAGTGTTGACAGGTGGCGAGACTGAAGAGTACTGCTTGACTGGAGTTCATTAATTAAAGTTTCCAGGCTTTTGACAATAATAGGTACCGTCAAATGGGGTTATTTGGGACAGTGGTGTAAATTGGGACGAATATTTAATGCTTTGCATTCCATACTCTTTGACAAGCACCCAGTTGATTTATTTAAAAAATTCCTTTTGCACAAAGCCAGTAAGTTTTTTTTCTTTTCTCAGTTGAGTGAAACCTTTAAATCATAATATTTTATCTCATGATTCTTGTATTTTTGATATTTGTTGAATTTGCTACATTTTTTAAGACACGAAAAAAATTGTGCTGTTGCGACGCTTCGAAAATACTAAAATTTACAAACACTGTAATTTTTGTTACACTATGTATCTCTTTGAAATCTAAGATGAACGGTTTAGTTTTCTGATGACTAGTATTTTCGTCAGAGGATAGTTGTTGGCTTAGAGGTTTGCACAGGGTAATTTGGGACATTCGTGGATGAACCACACCTCTTAAAGCTTGTACCTTTTTCTTCAAAGCTCTGCCATGTGGTACTGCTTCGAAGGCTGCCATGTTGTATGTTACTTAGTTACGATTTAAAATTGAAATACGGATTCGTGTAATGAATTATCGCTCAACATAAGTTTCTGATAGAAATAGAATAAAAATGTTCAAAATTATTGAGTTGTTTGTTTTGTTTAAGACATTCAGACAAATAATAAATAGCATGTCTTAACATCCTATTTATTATTTGTCTGAAGATGTCTTGAGTAAAGACGAAACGTTACAATAAATTTAATTTTACAATTTGTTTTTTTTGGTCTATTTCTATGGCTCTAATAAGAACTTTATGTTGGGCATTAATTTTAATAACACGAATTCGAATTCCGCTCGGCAAGTCTCTCGCTACTATTTGAAATACGGATATTTATGATTTCTGATCTGTAATTACTCGGCTAATTGTAGTTAAAGTGTATTTTTCCTGAAGTGTACCCTTTTTCCAATTCACCCCAGAAGCTTGCACATATGAAAAACATAACTGGGAGAATATTATAAAACATAAAGTGTCCCATATAATCCTGGCTGGTATAAACTAAGAATATATAGCAAAATCAAAGGCTGTCCCAATTTTGTCCACATGGGGTAATTTGGGACTCAAGCATATTTTTAAAAAGTGTAGAGACAAAATAAAATGAATGATGCAGTAATGAGGATGATGCAAAACTATGATTATTTACTCAACTTTTACCACCAAAACCTCTATTCATACTTCATGCCTTGGTACATTATTTCAAATGTGTATGTAAAAACAGTCCCAAATAACCCCATTTGACGGTAATTCTGAAAATGAAAGAACTTACATTTCAATTGTTGAAAACATTGCTAGTTCTTGTTACTAATCCAACATTTACCTTTCACAGAATTCATCAGCGCAGCTAAATTTGTCGTCTGTATCTTTAAGTTTCTACATTCTTCGGAAAGTTCTTTTAAACGATTTTCGATTTTTTTTAGCTGTAAAAAGGACGTACTGTCCTGTAAACAAAGCATTGCAGAAACAATAATTTAGGGCATTTATAATGACAATACCCTTTCACCAGGCAAATCTCGAATATGTTAAATAAGAAAGCAAAACTTACTCTATCTGGGCAACGTCAACTGCTAAGAACTGCAAAAAGTTTATATACTTACGGAACGATTCTCGTTTAAGTTGTCTTCTTCATTTTGCACTGTTTCAAACTTTTAAAAAATCAGTAAAACATTTATATTAATCACAATGCTTAAGATTCCCAAGAAGATTGCCCTGTGCTATGAGACGAGTAGCGACAACATATACTTTTGTTTGACTTATTTCATTTCAATGTTTAAATATATATTCAAACTCAGCGTATGAATTTATCCAAAAAAGTGCTTTACGAGTACTCATACAATGCTCGCCTTACTAAAATAACATATTTGAACATGAGAAGAACGCACATTAGCTGTGATTAATTGACAAAAGCTTATGAAACACGAAAATATTTCAAAACTCATTACTTCTAACTATTGTTGGCTGTAAATAGACGTAAGAATCACATCCAAAAATGGCCATCCTCCATTATGGAGAAAGTACTTAATGGATAGAAAAAGGAAAAACAACTTTTTTGCCAGCTGGTTTCTCATCTGTGATTGGTTGATTTGATTGAACACATTGTTAATTGATCTTTTTGGAGTCGTGCGCTTTTTAACTCAAGGTCAATGTCTTAACTTAGAGTTAGTTAGGCCAATGCTTGAACTCTACTTTCAAAAACAAAATTTTAACCCAGGATTAGCTAACACTATGTTAACAAATCAAACCCTAAGTTAGTTCTTAACATTAAGCTATGTCCCTTTAAAAAACAACCAGTCAATGATCTTTTACTCCTCGGGACATATTAATACTAATGAAGCATCAAGTAATTAATACAATATGAATACCTCTGTTTGTTTATATTTTTCTTTAACCATGGAATATAAGGAGATTTTCTTTGAACTATCTTTCTGGACTTTTCTTCTCTTTAAAGGGGGCTAAATAAAAACAATCATATAGACAGTAAAGCCTTTTTAGTACAATATTTAGCACTTTCTAAAAAAGCTGGAATCCAAAAGTGATACCAAAAAGATTGTAATCTCCAATCACGATAAAAAACATACTTTTTTACTTATATGTGAACCAAACTGGACTTCATAATCCTCCTTATCGAAGTCGGAATGGTATTTATAATTCTTTTGTGAGATTCTTTGACCTTTTCCTCTTTTAGGAGTTGAAGTTTTCCCACTTTTCAGATACATCTCTAAGAATGAATCCATGGAGGCAAAGTCACCTAATAATAAAATGTAGAATACTTCGATTTTTATAGTTTTTATAATCCGAAAAACCCTGCTGTATTCATATTTTTCAATTTGTATTCTTTTTATTTTTATTTTTAAGTAGTTATATTATATTTAGTTACTTTTAGAGGACCCCTCTGTAAACCACTTTTTAGTGATGTTGGCATCCTCAATAAAGATTAGCTATTATTATTAAACTTGTAGAGAAAGTATAGATACTCATTCTCATGACAAAAAATGGTATATATCCAGCAATGCTTTTTTTAAAAAGTAAGTGTCCGCCATATTGTCACTTTCATTTTTTATAAATTTAGTTTATACAGAAACGATTATTCGAAATATTTATACGTTTTAAATTTATATTTTTGCAGTGGCATTTCAAAAATCAAAATCAAATGCCAACCTCCAAATTTTAAAATTCTTGCTGGATATCTTTCGCTTTCCGTTTTGATTGTATCTATATCAATTTTTTTCGCATTTTTCGTTTCGCTGCATTGAAGTCTATGGGCCACTTGACAATTATTTCGTGGGTAAAGAGCCAGGATTCGTTGTCAAATGTTGTAGAATTTTTATCTTGTATCCATGATGTTTGGCCAATATCAAAAGTATTGTCTCCAAAATCGAAAATCGCAAACTTCATCCTTAACTTTCACAATTGGTCACCTTTTCACAACAGCGAGCTGCAAAACGCTGACAACAACTTGAACTTGATTACTTGAGTGGCAAGGAAATTTGCTTTGTCACCTTGGCGATGTCAGCTCAGCATTGATGTTACTGTGGTAATGGCGGTAAGTGTTAATTGTAGTAATTTCTCAGCTGACTTGAACAAACGCTTTCTCCTTTTGTCTTGAGCAGTCTGTCATGAATATTCCTCAAAATTTGTCAAAATTTAGCTTTTTGATAAAACTTGTGTTCGTGGTTTTGTAATTTAAGCTTTTCTTATGGGTTCAAGAGGGCAATACAAACGATATGCAGTTGATTCCACTGTTGATCTTCCAAGAAGAACAAAATATAGACGACGAAAGCAGTTGCGTGCTACGATGGAGATAGATCAAGCAACTTCATCTGATATGGTATGGAAAATTTCATTTAGATATTATTTCTGATATTGTTTGTTAGTGCTTAAAAATTTTATCCCATACTTTATCCACACTATAGAATTAAATCTGTCTCCATTCGCATATGTTCAGACATTTGTGTAACATACCTCTATTGCCTTTCCTAACATAATTGGCATTAATACATTGTAATTGAAGTATTAATTTTAATTGTATTACATGATACACTTATATCTGTGCTTCAAAAAATAAAAATGGAACTTTTGTCGGTAATTTTGCAGTAGACATTGTGCTTTGTAATTTTACTTTTGTGTAAACTTGTAGCAAGAAACAGGAGCTCCTTAAATGTCCAGTTATAATTATGTCTATTAATGAATTCATACAATCAAAAATGATGCGGAAGTACTTGTCAAATAAAATTTGCATGTTGAAATTGCATTTTTACACTTTTAGCAATTGAGTGCATTTAAAATGAAGTTTCCCTGCCAATTAACCAAAACCAAATTCAATGAAGCCAAAACTAAACAGAGGGTTTTCCATGTGTTGTATCATATGCTTGAGAATGATTGTATTCTATTTAATTCCCAGTGGTGAAAAACTTAATTTTAACATGAAGTTGTTATTTGAGGAGTTCATTAACTGGAAATGTAAAGGACTTTGCTAGCTTGCTGTATTCAAATATAACCTTAAAACACAATGTGTCAAATGCATGATTGTCGATAAAATTTTGATTGGAATTTTTTGATACTCGTTGAATGTAATGGCGAGTCATGCAATTTTGTTTGTTGTACAGATTGTATTATTGAATTTGGATGCAAATAGATTTAAAATAAATATACAAAGATAACGATATTAGATTAGACATTTCTTTGTATTGACACTATTCAGTTTTGTTGAGCTTTCAACTTGGTGCTTCAAGTCAACTTGTGCGTATGACAGTGTGCTCAATTCATGTAAATAAAAAAAAAATATTATTATTGCTATTGTCCAAGTCAGTCTATCAATGGTGTATAAGCCTATAAGTGCATGTGTTCATACACATACATTATATCTTTCATTATATACATTATATCTGATAAATATACATTATCTCTTTCAACAATCTATGAGGTCACATAACATTACAGACAATGATCAAAGTGTTTATAAAGCATTGCAAACTGCATTTCATTGACCTCTTAAAATGTCTTAATTTTCATGTTAGCTAGCTTGTGCCAGTGAATGGTATAAAAGAAGTTTCTACCTTCCTTTTCTATGGAAATACCTATATCATCTTGTGACATTACATTGCATAGTCATATTTAGACTGCATCAGTTCTCAACATAATTAAAAGATTTATTGACTAGTACAAGAAAATAATCAATACATGGCAGGTAGGAGTGTGAAAATTTGATGCACTTCAAAATATTTGAAATCAAACGTTAGTTATGCAAAGTGTTTCATTACCAGAAAATTTGCATAATGAAAAGATTTCAATATCAGCGTAACAAAGATAATTATAAAATAAACATAATGAAACGTGTCTGCTGATTGGTCCAGAGCTGCATTGCATTAGCCTTTGAAAAACAATCTGCGCTCAACCAATCAAATCAATCAATCAATCTAAGAGAATTTGCAAATCGATCATGAATACATGTTAGAAGAATATTAGAACGTTTTGTCTGTTTCGCATTATTGTTATTTTATAAAAGAAATAAAAGATGTTTTTCATGTTTGCACTGGCTTATGCAAACCTCGGAGACGTTTGTGAGAACTTTCGAGCAGGTGCAACCCTCAAAGTTCAGTCTCGGGCTTGCACTGATCAGCACCCAAGTTCTCCCTAAGGTTTCCTTGATTGGATAAGACTATGCAAACACAGTAAACATCTTTTATTTCTTAACAAAAATAGTTTGTAAGATGCTAGATGAGCTTGAATAGTTATTGTAATGTATTTAGAAAACAGTCTGGCAAAATTTTGTTTCATTAACGCTTTAATCGATGGAACATATATTTTAAAAACTAGATTCAAGGTCATTAACATGATCAAGAGACACAGGCACAGGCATGTCAGGAGAATGGAAAACGATTAAAGCGAATATGAACATGAACCCTCCCCACCTCCATAATAGCTACTACATTCGAATGGAACTATTCGAATTCTGCATATTTAGGTCTTGTATTCTTGATGAAAATGATCGAACTGGATTAGAACTAGCGTCGAATAACGTTACGGATTTACAGTTTATATCCCATGTACTGTATGTCCTGGACTTGGAAATGGACAAGCTGTTCGTCTCACACCATCTGAGACCAATTCCGTGGCAAAAATGATTAACAGAGACGTTTATTACAAATGAAAAAATCTCACAATAATTTTTTTTAGCTAATTTGAGGATGATTTGATTTTTTTTTACAATTTTCCCATAGCTTTTTGTATAAGAATTTGAAAATATATTTTTCTATAAGTTTACAAATTCCTGTGAATTTTTCTAAAGCACTTCTTATAAGAATTTTCTTTTTCTATGAGATTTCACATTGTAATAGGAATCCCTGAATGAATCGCATACCAACTATAACAAAGCAAACAACTTAATTCAATGGTGGCGAAATCGAAAATCAATTCCTCTTCAATTGCATGCTGTTGGTGTTCGTAATGGTTCTGAAAACTCATTATCTAATGACTAAATTTCGACATGTTTTGTTGCTCTGCTTTGAGGAATTTAATCAATGTCAGCTCGTAAAGCTGTTGTTTAAATTCTGGTAAAGAATTCAAACATCAGCAGCCTTTGATTCAAGAGATGACATTATCATTGTCTTTTACACAACCACCAACTCCATACCACAATGCTTCGTTTATTTCATGCATTAGATTTCTAAAGAATCTACCATAGTTGTAAATTTGGGGAAAAATAGATAACATTTCCTATATATTTCGATTGCTATATATGTTTTTCCAATAACATTTCCAGGAGAATTCCTATAGTAATTTTAATATTCATTAAGGTTTTTAATCCCACTATTTTTTTAAAGGATTTCCAGTCGGAATTGCAAAACAAATCACCATTATGGATTCCTATGGGATTTCGTACAAGAATTCAAATATTCCTATAGGCTTTAAAATTGCCGCCATTTTCTTAATATATTTCCTATCGGAATCGGAATAAAAATGAATTCACGTTGCCTTCTTATAGGATTTCCTACAGGAATCTTATATTCCTATTGGAATTCTAATAAGATCCTATTGATAATTTTCGTAAGGGGAAGAACGTCCATGTTTTTTATAATAGAGTGTAGCCACACACAGCCCCATATATCCCCATATATCCAATATCAACAGCATGTGGTGTCGTATCTCCCCTCCCTAGAGGATATTTTTTCAATTTATCCATTACACACTCTTTTTATCCGTCCTGCCCACTGGTCCTGCCTCGGAAAGTGGTGAATTAAAATAGAATAGAAGTATAGAAGACAGCTTTCCAAAATATTACGTACTTAATAAAGCATTTCCAAATCACGTACAAAAAAACCAGACTGAATGCTAAACTAAAGCAGGTATTTATACTTTCTACATAATACAATTAATGAATCAATCAGCTGGTGAAATAATTGTTTCAACAATATATTATGGATTTCACCACAAACAACAAATACAATATTGGAATGTCATATAATATTTAGATGCAAAGATATGACTTTAACGTCCACACAAGACAATATCTAACGTCCAGTAGAAAAACCATATTGGCTCCAGATATAATGGAATTTTTCTACCTGTGAATGTGATCTTCATCTTTATTTCTAGCAGTAACAGAACCACATTGGCTCCAGGAATAATGGAAATTTTCTATCTGTGAATGTGATCTTCAACTTTATTTATAGCAGTAGCAGAACCACATTGGCTCCAGAAATAATGGAAATTTTCTATCTGTGAACGTGATCTTCAACTTTATTTCTAGCAGTAGCAGAACCATATTGGCTGCAGGTATAATGGAAATTTTCTACCTGTGAATGTGATCTTCAACTTCATTCCTGGTAAAACCACTCTGGCTCCAAAATTGAACTAAAGAAATGCACTAATGTTACTCAGGAGAAATTTAATAAATTTGGTCAAGTGGTTCTCACGTCACGTGCTCGTTGTCATTTTGTGGAGATGCATCAAGCATTTTAATGACTTTCTTCGGTGTGGGCTTTCTTTCATCATAAGACAAGAAAATTTATGCGATATTCTGCAATTCTGCACTTTCAATCTTCAAAGATTGCAGTATCAGATTCCATCCATTGCAATCACGTGGTAAAATATTGGATTCCAGGGTTAGAAAATTACTTGATCATACAACTAAATGGCATTTTCAAATCTTGAAAATTTTGACGTTAAATAATTTTAAATATATAATTTTATTTTGGATATGTTGATAAATCTACTTCATTCAGTAGCTAAATAATTGCAGGCTACGAACATGTATGAATTGCGTGCCAATTTTTTTAAATGTATGCTATTGTATTTAATAAACGCAGTGTTTTGGGAGATGTACCCAAAAGCCAAGAAATGAAAAGAAACGTGAATATTCATGATAACTACGATAAATAATGTTATGACAAATGTCACTTGGCCCCAAATGTGGACACTGTTTATTTTTCCAAACCAAAACGAAATGGGAGGGAAAACCGGCGGATCCGGTAAAAAACCCTCCAATAAAAGAAAAATAAAAAATTTGGAGGAATTGCTTCAAATTTTTGTAGTGTTTTATGATGTTTTATATTTTTGTTGTTTTCAATGATCCCGATGATCTTCTTTAACATGCAGTGTAGTCAGATCGTGC